TACAGTACTCCATGGCAGCTGGCTATAGGTGTACCCCAAGTACAGTACTCCATGGCAGCTGGCTATAGGTGTACCCCAAGTACAGTACTCCATGGCAGCTGGCTATAGGTGTACCCCAAGTACAGTACTCCATGGCAGCTGGCTATAGGTGTACCCCAAGTACAGTACTCCATGGCAGCACGGCCACCAGATACAGCAAAAAGACATTATTTCAGTTGACCTCCACTGAGCGTTCGTCAAAGTAAGACACAGTCTTCCATTATCGTCAGTCACCATCTTTTTCACCTTCATCACAACAGTAAAATATTTTACTTATAGTAAATGAGTAATAAATAAAGTTGGACAAGACAAGAAGAAATTAACAAGAAAAAAATCCCACAAATAATGCTATGTTGAAGTAGAGGAACAAATGTTTTTCCTCCAGACATATGTTTGTTTTTTATGTCACAGAGGTGACACTCTGCCAGACTATTTCACCTCAAAAACATAAGGAACCAAAGTAGATTGGCTTCTTTCACTGTATATTTGACCATTGCGCCCACAGTGATGTGTGAAATCGGTCCCCTGAGTAATCTGCCCTCAGAATCTCAGTATGCCAATCCGAAGGATGTCTGTCAAAACACAACTTTTCTACTAAAAGGGGAGTTTGACAGACATCTCTTCGTGTTCAGACGTGATTCAGGTGTCCAAGGGTACAAGGGTACAGGATAGGACACCAATCACGGGGGAAATATTTGAAATATGAACTACGACTAGATAAGACAACAGGACAGGTGTCTTTGGTGAAATTCTTGCACACCTGTAACATTCACTTTCGTCAATCTCATATGTACTTCTGTCACGAAATGACCATCCTCCTCAGGTTTGAAACCTCAAGGACCACGGTGGTCTGACCACGTTCCCTGTGAACATGCAGCACTAACAGAAACGCAGCTGGTGTGAAGCTGGGGAGAGCAGAAATAAACACGCAGAAAAGAAAAGGTGGAGCCGTTTAGACCAGATACCTATTACCGGGCCCTAGAGGACGTTAGCTGGGAGGGTCACCGAAGTCTTGGTAAATGTCACACTTCGTTAAATGTCTTTTTTAAATGTGTGAGTTTTGTGTTTCTCGAATATTCTTCTCTCTCATGTCAGTTTCTTTCCAGGTTGCCCGGGGGGTGGGGGTCCACTACCCACCCGGCCATGGCCCCCAGAGGTGTGAGGGGAGTGGGGGGTTTATTAAGGGGGTGAGCTTACAGTCCAGCATCCTCTGCCCCTCCATCAGTATCGGTTCTGGTGCTCGTAATGCCATCGGTTAAAATCGATGTTAAATGCCACGATGCTCCCAGAGGCCATTCCTGTGATCAGCGTCCTGCAGTAGGTGAAAGCAATGGCATCAGGTCACACCAATCAGAGACGTGACAACATGCTGACAACATACTAAAGGGCCAATGAGCTGACACCATGATTCGGAGCTGTGTCAAACGTTTATATACTGGGTTGTAATAATGCAGCCTTACATAGCCCTGACAAACACATGCACCAAGACGCCTAGTGTTACATTAGTGCAATTTTCATTACAACACCCTGTTAGTCACCCCACACAAAGCCTGTTGAAATCAACAGGGCCTAAATGAATGAGTGAGTGGACAGGAAGTGGAGGCAGGAAGTTGAAGCAATCTGACCTTTGATCGTGAGATAGGTCCATGGCACGGATTCCGGCGTCACATCCAGGGTAGATGTAGAGTTGCTTAAAGTCGCAGGCTTGCCACACTTCAACCACCCCATTGTCTCCTCCTGTCACTAGATTTTGTCCATCGCTACTCAGAAGGACGGCCTGCAGGGGGAGGCAGAGAATAATTTCAAGGGAAAGGCGTACCAGTTGAGTACTCTGTGTCTCTGACTCTTTATACTCAACTGGTTAGTTGAAACAAAACCTTGGTCTATATTTGTACTTTCTGGACCTGGACTTTCCACCTCTCTCTGTTATAGATTACTTTTGTGAGTAACTTCCCCATAACTGCTCGCCAGAGGGGAGCCTTAGACTGGAGGAAGCCCAGTTGGGAAAAATACATCAGGGTAGCCAGAATTCTTTGCTACGCCCTAATCACAGCCACTGCTAGAAACACATTAGTATGAGAAACCCTTCCTGGAGTCCGAGCTTGTGCTTGACTGCCCCTAGATCGAGTTCCGTAAGTGGTAACATAACACACTGCTGCCGGTGGAGGACGTACCCGAGTGCAGTCGTTAATCTCCATCTGAGCCAGCAGCTTGCCATTGATGCTGAAGTTGCAGAAGCGGCCTCGCTCATAGTAGATGATGCAGTGGCCCTCACTGGACACGGCGATGAGACGGGGCCTCACACAGTGCTCAGGGCCCTCAAGGGCCCTCAACAGGTCCCCTGTGATAGTGTGCACTAGGCAGGGTCCCTCTGTCCCCACACACACACACACACACACACAGACACACACACACATTACTCATGTCTCTTCAGCAGGATTGCAGCATCACATATAAACTTGTAAATATAGTTATTTTCATATAATGGTGTACTGATGCATTTAAATGCATTTTAACGCATTTTACAGCAATCAGGTTGCTAAGCAAAATGGATACTAAGTGAAAATCACTGTAGTCTAGGCATGACTGCGACTGCTTACGACTTTACTTCAGCCTTCCATACTCAGTTTCTTTTATCTTTCATGAAGTGGACATTTTTAATGACATTTTGTACATTCCACAATTTCTGCAATGCTAAGCACTTCTTGTCCCATTTGAATAAATGTGACTGAAGAGGACAATCGGACTGGTTCTGCCGTCTGACCTTTGGCCCCGCTGATGACCAGACCCAGCTCGGCACAGACAGACACACAGACCACCTCATGGTCATGGCCAGTCAGGACCGCTCTCGGAGCAGGGTAGTCACCTGGGGAATAAAGTACAGGGCATGAGGTTTTATATTAGCTGGTAAACATTTGAGTTCTTACACAGCCATGAAATTATGTTGAAGCTTAAATTTGGTATTGTTCTATGTATCCGTTGGTAGTACTATAATTAGTTTGTATACTGAAAACTTTACATTTTAAATTAAACCTAGTGTGTATTTTAAATGTAGTTTATGCTCCACCACTTCAGTTCAGTGCAATACAAACTAAAGTAGTAATTAAAAGTACAGTGGCAATGCACTCCTTGGCACCTGCTGATCACTCCACTAAAAAGATTATTTGTATACGCAAATCAGAAGTTCTCCACTAGAGGGCACCAATCTGTCTTTTATTCAGCACTGATACCCAGTCATCACGCAGCGTGGACCAGTGAACCACAGGAAACATTCTCAACATTATTCCAGCAGGGTTCAATATGTTTTATACACCCGCCCCCCCCAAAAAAAAGAACCTTTAGACAGCATCACTGGATAATCATTCCATTAGAACAAGCACTGGAAAACATCAGCATAAATGGACAGAAACATGTATCACAGCAATCGCTGATCAGTATTCAGGTGCGGCAGCTTGTTTGCTGTCCGTGGTTCTCCGCTCCTCACTGACGTGTCCCCTGGCAGCTACTGCTCGCTTACTTTCCTTCCTTCCACAGTGCGCAGTGAGCAGTTAACCCGCATAGCCGGGGGACTCCGATTAACTCACTTCTGGAAGCAAGACAAAGGAATCGTGACCCCCCCACCCCCCCCACCACTAATTGGAGGCAACCGAGCTGAAATTCTTAATTAACTAACAGGCTGTTCTTCTGTTAATTTCGTTAAAAAAAAAAAAAAAAAACATAATGAAATGGCGACACCTCAGCCTTTGAAGCTGACGTGTCTGACACCAAGTAACACAAGGATCTCTCGCATCTCCCCAGTGCTAATCCTCCTCACCTCCATTACTACCAGTGCGCAGTCAGCTGCTGTTCACGAACCGGCCGGTGTTTCCTCCACGCTAACTTTACACAGTGTCCCTATTGTGTACTTGTGTTCGTGACGCTGTTTCACAGTGTTTTCACACTGTTTCACACTGCAAGTTAGTGGTACGCTTTTCAGGGTTGATTACCTGACTTGGCATCTATTAGGACCCGTGCAACATTATGGTCAGCAAACAATGTGTTTATAAGTGTACAGTGCTGTTACAGTTTGGTAGCAATGTCTGGTCTAAGTTCAGGGCCTGGAAAACGTGGCCCGTGTTTGTAGTCCTCTGCCTTTCAAGGCCGTGACCAACTCACTGTTGTTGGGGTTGTCCCCGATGATGTGGTGTCTTCCGCTCCAGTACCACAACAGCAGCGTGGCATCCCGGGACCCTGACACGATGTAACAGTCGCCCCCGATGTAGGACTCGGAGCGGGCCAGGCACGTCACCACATCCCAGTGGCCGAACACGATCTGGGTCAGCTTCCCTGAGGGTGAAGAGGGGCACAGCCACATGAAGGCTCCGCCCACCATCCTCAACCAGTCACAGCTGAAGATCGCTCTGCCTGACATCTACATCCAATAGCAAGAAGATCATTTAATGATACTCTGCTGCCCCTTAACACCCATGGGGCATGGAAGCCTGAGAGTCAGTCTCCGTGCGGCTTTCCCAAGAGAGCAGAATTCCCAGAATGCCGTCTCAGCTGCACATTAAACATGCTTTTCTCAGAATGGCAAAAAAGACGCTCATTTTATCTTTTTAATTGTATTATGCCACAAAAATAGCCCAAATACCTTAATCCAGTGTTTCCCAACACAGTCCTCAGGGACCCCCAGACGTCTGCATTTTTGCTCCCTCCCAGCTCCCTGCCAGACAGTCTAGCCCAGGAAAAATGTTGACCGACTGGGGGGTTCTCGAGAACCGGGTTGGGAAACACTGCCTTAATCGGTACACAGAACTGGTTTACAGAATTTGTTCCATTTCCCCCACCAGAGTGATCAATTCCATTTGTGCAACCAAGCCCCTGTTTTGCAGTGGGGTCTGGACGGGGGTGGGAACACCTCAGCGTACCCGTCTCCGTGGAGTAGACGCGGAAGCTCTTGTCCCAGAATCCGCACACCAGGATGTAGCGGTTGTCGGCTGTCACCACAAAACAGTGTGTATTGATCTGGATGCTCTGGTCCACCAGGTCTGTGATCTGCCTTTTGTTGATCCCAGAATTATTAGCTGATGATGAAGGGAGAAAGATTACTGAGTGGGTCAACTGAGCAGAGGCTGGAAATTATTCAATCCAATGAGAATGCAGGCATCACTTCTAACCCCGCCCCCTACTCTGGTACCCAATGGGGTACATCACAGACTCACCAATCAGAGGGTCCATTTCAATCGGCAAATGATGAGCCTGTTCCAGAGAGTATCCTGGAGCTCCCCTGAGACCTACCAGCCAATGAGGACACTCATTCAGTGTCTGTCACACACACACATACCTTGTACCTATCACATAAACATGTAGTAAAATGCAGACACTTTTGTCCAAAGCAACTTGCAAGTGAGGCAAAAAGCATATAATCAACATACACACTGTCAAGGAGTCGACTAGGCATGAGTGCAGCTATGATGAGCTTCCAGTGAATGCCATACTGGAGCAAGAACGAACTATACATCTTCCAAGCAAAGCAAAACCTAGTAAGACTACTATGCAATGAGTAGAAAACACAACAGTAAGACCATTAAGGGGACACTGTGCCAGAGTAATATCAGGGTGGGAGACATATTCCGGCAACAAAAACGGGTTTCAGTCGTGCAAAAAGCCTTGTATGTATTACATGCATAGTCAGTAGAATGCACAGTACCCGACATGCATGACCGAGACCCCTTCTTTGTCGCACACAAAAATGCGGATTCCCACAATACACCACTCCTAGGGACATTAGTGTTCACTAGTGTTAACGCTGGGGTAGACAAAACAAGGTGGCCCCAGTGACAAGAGCTGAGGAACTGCTGGTCCAAGGTGTAGAGCCCTCACCACTGGCGGCACGACCCTGAACTCACCCACGGTGTTGTGCCAGCGGTTGACGGCGAAGAGGCGGCTGCAGGTGACGGTGACGGCAGCGGGGACGCTGAGGTGGGGCAGCGTGTTGGCCGCCACGTGGGTGACCGGCGAGTTGGACGGGAACTTGAGCACCATGATGACGTCCTGCTGCATCTGGTCCTTGAACATGAGGGCACTCTGTGGAAGGAAACACTGTTGAGTAGAAGAGAGAAAGGAAGAGCATGTGTGGGGAGGGGGGGATGAAGGGAAGAAGAGGTAAGGAGAGAGAGGAGTGGAGCGATAGGAGAAAGGGAGACAGAATGGAGAGAGGCAATTAGTGTGGAGGTTTTGAGGTAAAACAAGGTACAGACACTGGGGAGGGCAGCAGGCCTGGGGGTGGGCTGTGGCATGAGTGACCTACAGAGTGGTACCAGCTCCGAGTCCGGTCCACCTTCCGGCCCACGGTACCAGGAGGGCCAGAGGGGATCAGGTGGAGCGGAGATGGAGAGTGACAAAAATCAGGCTGATAACGAGGTACGTGCTGGGCAGGACGACTCGGCACTCACGAGCTGGGGACAGTCCGTGGAGCCAGATGCCCAAGAGCAATGCTGAGTGTGAGTGAGTGTATGACAGAACAGCAGATATTAACTACATTTCCTACCACAATCCCCTACATCACCTCATCCCTTACGCAGTGTTCACTGGCTCCCATCGGGGAAATCCAGTCACTATATTGTATTTGCAAGTGAGTTTATATTACATTGGCTTTTGTTGCACACTTAAGATCTCTACTTAACGTTAAGATCCATGACTCAGCGAAAAACTGCAGAACTCTACGGATTCTTGCTTCTGTTTGCTGCAGTCATGTGACTCAGCCCCTCCCACCATGAAACACGAAAACGAAAGTGTGGAATGAAGCACAGTTTTAGTTTACATGAGGCATGAGGATGGGGGGTGGTGGGTGGTGGGTGGTTGGGCATTCAGAGGGGTCTCACCAAGTGCATGGCAGAACTCCTGGGTGGGTGGGGCTCAATTAACAATTGAGAGGGGGTCTGTCCCAAGGTCTGGATCTGGATCTCCATAGCCTGTAGAGAAATGGGGAGAGGAGTTGGAAGGTACATTTACATGCACACTAAGGAAATCAAATTATTGTGTTAGTCCAACTAAAACTGGACTTTTAAAGTACATGAAAACATGTTAGTCCGACTGAAATCGTACTAAACCGAATTTCTCACCCAGGTAATGCAACTGTCAGTCGATTTATTCCCGCATGTATACGATCAATCAGACTCATACTGCCTTAAGCACTCTGCACATAAGTCTGTCCTGATCTTGTTGCATCTGTTCTTCCGACCGGATCACAATTAAAGCTTGTGTTACTTCATTTGCACCCATTTTTAATTAGATTTTTTTTTTTTTTTTTTACGTGTGTGACATAATAGGTCAACCGGAAAAAGCCCAATACTAACAAGCTGAGCGGAGCCATATCGCCACCTATCGTAGCGGAGTCAGACATACTTCAGTCAATAAATCGATTCCCCTCCCATGCATGTATACTGGGACAAGGGCAGCAGTCCAATTAAATGCCGTCATTGAGCTTTAACCGTAGCTTGACTTAGCTGTGCATGTAAACGTACTGACTGAGGGAACGAAAGAAGGGATGGAAAGAGGAGTGGAATGAATCTGTACACACAGTCAATACACTTCAACAACATCAATCGAGTGCCATAGGCTAACGCACCCCCCAATTTCATCCAGGACTAGCGGTGGGGGAGAAGTGCGAGTGAGGGTGTGTAGGGGGACATGCTGGGTCGGGTCACCGGGCTTCCCGCTCCCACAATCTCCCATCTGGCAGGCAGCAGAGCTCCTGTCCGTCAGTGTTAACAGGGAGGAGAGGAGCCAACCCCCATTAGTGCACTTCAGCTGAGCAAGGCCCCACCAACAGAAACTAACCAGGTCTGACAGGACGGCGTGGACCAAAACAGGCCACTTGGGGGCAGGGCGTGTTTGACAGAGAGGAAGGATTCTAAGGAAAAGAATGTTCCCGTGGTGCATTATGGGTCCGAAGGGTATGGGAAATGGGGATATGGTGAAGCAGAAATATTCTGAAAAACAACAGGAAAAACATCTGTCAAAGAAAGTGTTTATGTGACTCTCAGACTGTAAACGCTCCTTGTAAGGCGAAAATACTGCTGTGGGTAAGGAACAGGGCAAACATAAAGAACAGAAAGTAAACAAAAATACTGTTGTAGGTGTGTGTGCATGTATAAGTAATTCAAAGGTATACAATACTGTGCCAAAGTCTCAGGGAGTCAAAGAAAATGTTTTGATTATTTATCAGGGTAGTAAGTGTATATTTGCTCAGAAAAAAATAACATTAGATCATATACAAATGAAAAGCAACACAACTTCTGTTCTCCAGAAAGTTACTGATATCTTGTTGGATGGCTAGATGACATAACATCATAGTTTTACACCAACATAAAGATCAGTTAAGAATCATTTTGTGGGACTACCTAAGACTTTTGCACAGTACTGTATTAATATGACTTGCACACCCTGGAAAAAAACTCGATTGCTTAATTATCTTTGGCCATTTGTGTATTTTCATTTTCCTTGACTGCCTCATTTCTACGAATGTCTTTTGCATAGTACTGTGTGTGTATGTGTATATATATATATATATATATACACACACACACACACACACACACACACACACACACACACACACAACTAGCCGGTCAGGGTCATAATTGAGTGCCAAGACCTATACCCTGATGGGGTGCCAGTCAATTACAGGACAACCCCCCCCCCCCCAATTCATGGCTGAAATACAGTGAACCCATCACAAGATCCAAGGCCATATGGAACCAATCAGCAGTCATTTCCTCCACAGACGGGGGGTGGTACTCCCTCTCACTCTGGAGAGTAACCTTTCCATAGGTTTGGCGGCTGATTTACATCCGGATAGCAGGCGGAAGCCAGGTGCCGGGACCCATGACGACTTCAATCACTCAAACACCTGAAAGCAGGGGCTGAGAGCGGAGCCCTCCAGTGGGTGGGGGTGGGGGCTCTCGTCTCAGTCCCCCAGGACACAAAAACCATGCGAAACTGTGACATCGTTAACACCGCTGAGCTGGGTGCCGTCGGGCTTCGGAATGAGGGTGGCGGCAGGCAGAGGTGTGATTCCTCGCCTTCGTTAACCTCCAGAGAAATGTCATCAGCTAACGAGCATGAATTTTAATGTGAGACCACAGAAACACATACATCTGCGTTTCCCCAGTTTAAAACATTGCAGGTTCAGGAGAAGACATGCATGAAAACTACCTGCTCGATAGCAGTGCCATTGCAGGAGAGGTGGCTTTTGTCTGCTAAACAGGGCGAATTTCCCATCGTTTGCTTTAACATATTTCATTCACATGCTCCCATATACGATTAAACACCATTTTCACTTAAGGAAACCCATCACACCAGGACAAACTCGGCAGGGTGCGGCCCACAGGGCCGCCACAGTCTGCCATTTGACAGATGGCTCCACCCACTTAATTAAGCCATCATGCAGTGAATGGTGTACCACCACTGGGCAGGAAATGCAGCACAAACACGCATCCATCTCACATATATGTTATGTCACATGCTGATCTGTCTAGAGGAGATTTTGTCAGACTTTGCACACACAAATGTCACTGCACAATTAGACTTCCTGGTATGTAATACAGTGAACACTGCAAATATACATCCAACCATTCATCCACCTTCCATAACCAGGTTAGGGTAAGTCTAGACAAGGGAGACACCCTGGATAGGCTACACACACACACAGATGCAGACACACCGACACACACACAGATGCAGACACACCGACACACACACACACACACACACACACACACCATTTTTTGTTGTTTTGAGATGAGACCTCCAACAGCCTAAAGTCAAGCTTCCTTATCATCATGTTACACTACTGGGAACCAAAACTCACTCAGTCCTCATGGAATCCAACAAAAGAGCTTTCATTACATTTCTAAACATTTCTAACATTTTTCTCAAATGCCCACAGATATTTTTTTGAAAATGTTTCCTATGGAAAGAATGAGTTTGGGAAATTTGCTCTTAAATTATACTAGATTGCATAACTGCATCTTTTTGAATGTAGGAGGAAAGTCACGCAAACATGCAGAGGAGGTGTAAACTCCATACGCACAGAACGAGGGAGGATTCAGACCCCCAAAGAGAGGCGACCCAACGTAAGTGGTACCCACCTATCACACAACCCCACCCTGGCAGAGTGGACTCAGGGCAGCCTACCTGCCTCTATGGGGCCTGCATGCTGCTCGCTGGATAAAGATAGTAGTGCGGCTGGCAGGACATGAATGGTTTGTTATAGACGGAGCAGATGGTGAGTGTCACCGGGCGGGTGGGAGGAGCTGAGAATGGGCCCAGTGCTGCAGGCCAGCTGCTGTAGGCTCACCGGCTTTGGAGCCTTGGCATTAACGGAGTCCGTGGAGGACTGGGAGGGCAGCAGCCTGCCTCTCAGAGCTTACCTGAGGTGGTCAGGCCCTTACAACTCCGCAGAGGATATGATGGGAAGAGCTTCTGTTCTACCCTGCAGTAACCTGCCTGCAACCCCACCCAGGTACACCGCAACCCCGCCCAGGTACACCGCAACCCCGCCCAACACCACCGCAACCCCGGCCAACACCACCGCAACCCCGGCCAACACCACCGCAACCAACACAGGCCTGTTCACCGCTGGACAGTGAGTCAACTATCTCAGTCGCTCCCTGTAATGAAACATCTGACACTGAGAGCTGCTTTTCTTCCAATGAATGACTGTGTTCAAGCCTCACTTGTAACCAGAATGATCCTTTTCTCCAAACCATACTTATTATCAATGTTATTTATACAAGTAACTGTTGTTTTTCCACATGTTGAGTAATTCTGGAATCCCCCATATGACTGCCACTTTTACAAGCAAATGAAATTTCATGTGGCACCCAGACCGAACCATTAATTAAGGTTGCGGGGGGGGGGGGGGGGCTCACCTCTCTCATCAGGGAGTCAGTGATGCTGTCCAGGTTGATGGAGCCCTCATAGGTCATGTAGTGAAAGACGTTAAGGGCGCGCACCGCTTCAGGGCCTCGCTGCTTGTAGCCGAAAATCAGGTCAATCCACTGATGGAGCTGACAGGACACAAACTCGCTCTCCAGGGCCTGGGGGCGGGGGGAGGGGGGGGGCAATTAAGTCCAAAAAGAAAGACAAAAAAGCAGGGAGCCATGAACAAGTGAGCATCTGGGCAGAGAAGAACAGGGTTATGCTGTAAACACAGGGAGGCGGATGCGTCCAGCCTCAGGAACATGACACGCAGAGGCTGAGGTCATCACCATGGCAACCTCTGACATGGAGGGCGCCATCGTCAGACAAGCTTGCTAGGCTTCCTGCACTGCCGGCCCGCTCGGCATAACACGCTGAGCCGCTCGCCCCTGTCTCACCCTGCCGGTGACGGCGGTGCTACGGCTAACACGGCACGGGCCGAGGTGCCCGTGGGGCACGTCGCCATGGCAACAGATGACAGACAAAGAGATGGGAACGCTGGGGACCACAGGAAGCAGAGAGTGGATTAGGGGGGGGCAAAGGAGAAGGACAATGAAGAGAAAAATGAATATGAAATGAAAAGAAAGAACAGTAATAGGGTGGGGGGGGAGAGGAGAAAGGAGGAAAGTACGATGGAACAATGTGGCTTTGTTCTTTTTCAATGCTGTTTATTTCTCTCCTACTCCAGAAGACACAATACTGCAGCTCGACACACATACAGACACACACACACTCCAGACATTACAGCCTCACTGTCGTCCTCACATAGGTCTGCACCTGAACGACAGCGGCCAGGTGACTATCGGGGTACCAGTCCCTGTGAGTCCTCTGCCTTCGTGTGACACTCTAATAAGTCAAAACACACCCCTTCCACATCACACCCTGGATCTGTGCCTTTGGTCTGCGCTCGTTTCAGGGTTTGCAAGCAACTGGCCTCTGGGTGCAGTGAGTAAAGGCAGCGAGTACAGGGAGCACTGGGAGTGAGTACAAAGACTGATTACAGACAGTGTAAGTACTGAGTATAGGCAGCAATTACAAAGAGTGTAAGGACTGACTACAGAGAGTGATTACAGACAGTTTAAGTACTGAGTATAGGGAGTGATTACAGAGAGTTCCAAACGATCTTGATGCGCCAAATGGCCTCCTCTCGTTTGTAAATTTCTTATGTTCTTATGAGTGTAAGAACTGGGTACAGAGTGATTACAGAAAGTGTAAGGACTGATTACAGGGAGTGATTACAGAAAATGTAAGGACTAAGACTATAAGGACTATAAGAAGCGACTACAGAGTATAAGTACTGAGTCCAGGGAATGATTTCAAGTAGTGTAAGGAAATATGCATAGGGCTTGAGAAAAGGAAGCGGGCATAATAAGGAAGTAAAAGGATATAAAGACAGTACAAGAATGGGGTATGTGGCACCTAAGATGCATTCTGTAGAGCCTGTGAGATCTACACCTCCCTACTGCTCTACCCCCCTGACACGATGAGATACATTCCCAGCATGTCCCATGAGCTGTCAGGCTTACAGGGCAGTCCAGTCTGCATCATGGCCCTGTCATCTTGGGCTGGCCAGGGTGGCACATAGCTTCCATAGGGGCTTTGTGGATCAGTCAGAAGTAGCAGGACACAGTGCCCATTCAGTCACTTGTTTCTTTAAAGACACGGGGAGCGATTCCGCAGGAGCCCGACAGCACCGATCACGGCCATCCCTACGGCCGGGACACTCACCATCCGGTTGATACGGACAAAGTCCTCCGGCTTCTTGGCCCAGGGGGGCAGCCCCACGTCGCCCGCCACTGCCCGCTCCTCCCTCTGCCCCAGGTTGTACGCATTGCTGTTGACGAACATTTCCGGGAGGTAGTAGAACTCAGGGATGAGCTCCTGTTAACGACAAAGAAAAAACATCACAAAGGATTAACTGACCTACTGACTAAACACCATTCCAGTTCATCATTTTAGCTGAGCACCATATTGACCTGACAACCTTCTTTTCTTGATTACCATGCAGATTACCAACAGAGTTCTTGCCAGCAGCAATTCTAACCCCACGATGTTCCACCTGGCAGCCATTATGGCTCTACTACATTCCTGCTGGTATCCATTGCAAGCGGGAATGTTGGGTGCCATTCTGGCTCTATGACACTGTACGGCATTGTAGCTTCAAGGTGTCAGAGCAAGATTTCTGATAACACAGAATCTCAGTAAGGAGACCCATGTGTCCATACAGGGTTCAGAAAACCCCATTACAAATAAGTGCTGAAGATGTCCCAAAACCCTCAACTCATGGTGCTCAGCAGCCTGCTCTAGGAGGTCTTCTACAAATATGCACCCAAAAACTTGAGAAGGCGACTTTAATGGGTATTGAAACCCTGAAAAAAACCTAGATTGCCTCACCACAGCCCCTCTAATCTGCCTCATCCACAGCTCCAACCCCATCCCCCCTCAGGAGATTTTAACCCGCAGAGAGCCCATTTCTGGCCAGTGGTCATTAAGTGTATCACTTTACATTATGTCACCTCTGTCAAAACGTGTCTCTGCTGAGCTGTGGGAGGTCTCCCTGCCAGCAGTGTTTAGATGGTTTAACAGAAGGCGGGTTTAACAGAACCCTGCAGAGGTGGATAGTTCAGATCCAGAAAGTAAAAATCCAGACCAAGCTTTTGTTGCAACCAACCAGTTGTGCTGTTAAGTAAGTGTTAGAGAGTATGTGACAGGTTGGTTGAAACAAAATCTTGGTCTGGATTTTTACTTTCTGGACCTGAACTATTCACCTCTGGTACTCTGAATACACAACTAGCCCACATCCAGATTGTGTTATCAACGAATCTGGGAGAAAGAACCACTGCAGGATTTTGAGGACGCAAATTCAGCCTGGAAAGACTTTCTGCAAGCGGCGCTGGGATGCCTGGGACAATGATCAGTTCTGCCCTGACCTCTGTCCTGCTGACCCAACTTCTCATGGCAGCTGGCCTCACATACGATATAATTTAGCTGACACTAAAAAATGCGTTATTATCTTAAATTATATTTAGCGAAGGTGACACATGTAATCAGAAAATTCCTAAGGAATTTGTCCTTCTGTTCATTAACTCTGATATTCCCTCACTAGGTTATTAGTCCGTATAATAAATTTTAGGAATAAGACACTATCACTGTGGTTCTTTTAACACACTGTAAATTTGCCCAGTTTTGTTCTCCTCACCTTGACATCAGACGTGTCCCGCTGGCAGGTTCTCCAGGAGCGGGAGATGGAGGAGAAGGTGCGGTCAGGATGGTCAAACTTGTTTTCGTTGGCATTGAGGAAAAATGTGGTAAATGGTTCCTGTGCAGGAGAGAGAGGGGGTTTAGCGACTATAATACACGAGATCCAAAAAGTTGCTGATAATGGAGGGGGGGGGGTTGGGAGTCCATCTTCTTACTGGAAATTGAGTTTAATGCAGATTTACACAGCAATTAATTTCTATGGCAGTATGGTAGAAACACTATCAAGTGCGGGGGTTGGAATTCAATTTTAAAAATTCAATTTGTAGTGATATAAATAAGCTTCTCTGTCAGGCGTTCAGCCTGCCGTGCTGCATGAAAGGTAACGAACTTCCCCTAAGCCGCAGAAATCAGGTTCCGCTACAGTTTCCAGCAGAACTATTAAAATGAGATTTAAATTCGATTTAAACTCCAGTAACTCAGCCGATCAAAGTCGCGCTAAATCAGCCCTTAAAGGATTCCAGCGATTAAAACTCCGGCTTGTAAGCTGTAACCAAGTGACAGTGATGAAATAAAACGGGCAAATATGCAGACGCATTTACATAACGTCAGCCAGACAGACAATCAGTGTTTACATACAGCCAGATGGCTAATTCATATTGTGGAATGTGCCTGACTGACGGGGGGGGGGGGGGGGGGGGGACGGCAGCGTGGCCACTGGAACACAGAGGAAGGGAGAGTATTGGTGTGTCCGCATCATGTGTCTCAGTCGGGTACAAAATAACAACAAAACAAGAGAAAATGTATCTCTTCTACTGTATTTCTTGTTCTGTGACCTTTTACTCCCAAGAGAAAAAAAAAACACAAAACACAAGAGCCTCGACAGCCCCTTCGCCTCCTGACGGCCCCTTCGCCTCCTGACGGCCCCTTCGCCTCCTGATGACACGCCTGCAACTGTGTTCATTATCACATCCACTCCCTGCTCGGAGGCTCTGCATATCACTCCTTTTAATTGGCTCCCATTTTCCCTTCCTAGAAGAAGCGATTCAAATCAGGGCAGACACCTCGCCCAGTGTGGGGTCCGAGGGGGGGGCCCAAGCATGGCGCTCTCGCACCAGTCATCCTCATCATCGTCAACTTCCTCCTCATCATCCGCTCTTAACAGAAGCCATTCCTTCCTACAGCTTGAAGATTGTCTGGCGTCTCAACCACCAAGTAAAGGGACAAGATTAGCAGACAGAAAACCCTATCACCCACTCCTCCACGGCTGGGGGGCCAACACACCGTAGCCATGACAACATATGGATCTGTCATACTTGGCCTTCGGAGATGTGAAGCACACTGCAAAACTCCACTGGATTCTCAAAAAGACTCCAGAGGTTGTTTTATCATACAAGTTTCAGTCAGGTATATATTCTGGGTCTACATCTATTGCACTGAATGATATGTAGGTTTCTGTGCCGGTTTAAGAAGTGGATTAACTTCAGGCCTGACGATGGGATGGATTTGGTTTGGGACCCAGCGGATTGCACTCACTATCCTGACGAGCCAGTGCAGTGTGGTGGAGGCTGTAGAATACAAGGAGATGTACTGGTAGGGAGGGCTCTGCTCGTCCTCCCAGGTCTCGTATCGCTCTGCGTAGAAGACGGCGCGCTTGGGGTTCAAGGCCCCAACCGGCTGCAGAAAGAAAGAGAGAGAGAGAGAGAGAGAGAGAGGGAACAATAATTCATTATCACATCTGGTTCCGCTGGATGGATTCACACATTCATGATTTGTTTGTCTGTGATGGGTTGGTGCTCTCTCCTGGATTTCCTGCCTTGTGCCCTCAGCTTTTGGGATAGGCCCCAGACCCTGCATAGGACATGCCAGTGTAGAAAATGGAGGCATGAAGGGATGGATGGATGGATGGATGGATGGATGGATGGATGATTTGTCCAAAGAATTCAAAAATTCCATATTTGTGTTACGCAACGGCATATTCCTTGGGAAAGGGAGTTCTATTTATGGCTGCACCCCCCACCCCACCCCACCCCACCCCCCTAGCAATTCTGAAGCTGCAATCGGTGACTCACCAAAAGTGCCACCTACAGTTTGGCCCAGCAGCAGAGCTGTAAACTGAGCTCGCAGACTGACATCGCTAACCTCTGCGTGAGGTGCCTCTCGGTCCCGGGGTGAAACAGGGAGGCGGAGTAGGCGCTATATGCTGACCTAAATTCAGCAGAGTCACGCTAGACGTCCAGAGTCTAGCCTGTCTTCCCAGGCCCCTAATGGCTGCAGTGGAGACGGGAGGGTTTAATGTGAGGATTTGACTGCGAGGCCCCAGTATGCTTGCAGCAGCCCAAAAAAACGATCTCTCCGGGGGTATCTGCAGGGACATCCTGGGGATTTGGCTATAGGGGCAGAAGGTAATCCACCCAGCTTAACCCCAGATTGTTTTGTCCATTTACAACAACATGTTAGACGATGGGGGGAGGTGGGGGGGCGTTTGATGTCAAACACAGCTCCAGGTCCATTCTGACAGCGGGAATGGCGGATAAGGAGCGCCTGCTGCACACCCAAGTGCCCCCCGCTGATGATGTCATTCGCAGCAGACGCAGCTCGACTGTTGGAAAACCCAGAGGCGCCAACCAGCTTTTCCCAGCATTTGCAGGCAGACAAAAGGTGGCCATTATCACTTCATCATGGGCCCTGGCTCCTCCGAAGGCTTTATGGCAGCCATCTTGACCCAGCACTGCCAGCGAAACCAAAACAGGCCGCACAAAACCACTACAGAACTGGGTGTATCGCTCAGACTGCTTAGCAAAAATGGAATAAAAACTGGAACAAATAGTTTCAGCAGCACTGAGTAAAACACTCAGGCGAGTATACTGAAATGAAAAGAAACATCCACAGAGAGCTCCATGATGGGATTTAAG